GCTCATCTTAAAGAAGCAACTCCTCATCCCTTCAAATTTCATCATAAGGTTGTAGTAATTCAGTTGCACCTTCAGGCTCCATTCCTAGTTCTCTTGCTATTTCTACCACATTTGTAGTTACTCCTTCCAACTGAGTCATGATCCTCAACGTCATTGATGAGGGTTCTGATCAACTTCTTCCAAACTCCTATTACTTTTGATACTTTGACCTTCTTCTGTGAATTATGAATGTTCTTGATGGCATCTAAGATGGTAAATCCTTTCTGGAGCATTTTCAGTTCACTTTGCTCAGATCCATCAGGAATCACTATCTATGGAACCTATAGCCTTATGAAAAGTAGTTCTTGACTAATGAAACTTGAGCATTGAAATTACACCTTGATCTATGGGCTGGAGTGGATGTTGCGTTAGCAGACATGAAAACAACATTCATCTCCAGCACATCTCCACCAAAGCTCTTGGGTCACGAGGTGCCTTGTCAGTGAGCAGTAATATTTTGAAAGAAATATTTTTTTCTGAGCAGCAGAAAAAAAGTGGGCTTAAAACATTCAGTAAACAACGATGTAAACAGATGCATTGACACACAGGCTTTGTTTTTCCATTTCTAGAGCAGAAGCAGAGTAGATTTAGCATACATCTTACGGGCTCTAGGATTTCCAGAATGGTAAATGAGCACTGGCTTCAACTTAAAGTCACCAGTAGCCTAATAAGAGATTCCGCCTGTCCTTTGATTTTTTTGCAGCCAGGACTTAACTTCTCCTCTCTAGCTATGGAAGTCCTAGATGGGATCTTCTTCCAATGAAAGGCTGTTTTGTCTACATTAAAAATCTGTTGTTTAGTGTAGCCACCTTCATCAGTGATCTTAGCTGATCTTATGGATTACTTGTGGCAGCTTCTCCATCAGCACTTGCTGCTTCACCTTATACTCTGTTACAGAGATGCCGTCTTTCCTTCATCCTCAAGAACCAACCTCTGCTACCTTCAAACTTTCTTTTGCAGCTTCCTCACCTCTCCAGCCTTCATAGAATTGAAGAGCATTAAGGGCTTTGATCTGAATTAGGTTTTGTCTTGAGGGGATGTTGTGGCTGATTGGATCTTTTATCCAGACCTCTAAATCTTTCTCCATATCAGCAATAAGTTTGTTTTGCTTTCTTATCATTCGCATGTTCACTGGAGTAGCACTTTTAATTTCCCTCAAGAACTTTTCCTTTGCATTTACAATTTGGCTAACTGGCACAAGGGACCTAGATTTCAGCCTGTTTGGGCTTTTGACGTGTCTTCCATTAAGCTCAAGTATTTCTAGCTTTTGATTAAAAATGAGAGGTATGTGATTCTTCCTTTCACCACAACAGTTAGATGGCCATTGTAGAGTTATTTATTAATTGATCTAGTCTCAGTAATGTTGTACCTCAGGGAATAGGAAGGCCTGAGGGGAAAGAGAGAGACTAGAGAATGGATAATGAGTGGAGCCATCAGAACATACACAACATTTATTGGTTAAGTTTGCTGTCTTACATGGGTGTAATCTGTGGTTCCCTAACCCAATTTTAATAATAAAATCAGGCTGGGCTTAGTGGCCGACACCTGTAATCATAGCACTCTGGGAGGCCAAGGCAGGGGGATAGCTTTAGATCAAGAATTGGAGACCAGCCTAAGCAAATTGAGACCCATTTTTACTAAAAATTAAAAAACAAACAAACAAACAAACAAACAAACAAAATAAACTAGCTGGGTGTTGTAGCAGATGCCTATAGTCCCAGCTTCTTGGGATGCTGAAGCAGGAGGATTGCTGGAGCCCAAGAGTTTGCTCCTGGAGTTTGAGGTTGCTGTGATCTAGGCTGAGGCCGTGGCACTCTAGCCCAGGTAACAGAGAGACTCTGTCTTAAAAACAAAAAAATCAATAATAAAATCAAAGATCCCTGATCAACCGATCACCAAAACACGTATAATAACAATGGATGGTTCGAAATATTGTGAAAATTACCAAAATGTGACATGGGAAAGATAGGAAGTGAGCACATGGTGAAAAAGTGGTGTCAGGGGCCAGGCGCGGTGGCTCATGACTGTGAAAAGCAGGTGGATTGCTCGAGCTCAGGAGTTGGAGACCAGCCTGAGCGAGAGCAAGATCCCGTCTCTAAAAATAGCCCACCACTGTGGCAGGTGCCTGTAGTCCTAGCTACTTGGGAGGCTGAGGCAAGAGGATCAATTGAGCCCATGAGTTTGAGGTTGCTGTGAGCTATGTATGACGCCATGGCATTCTACTGGGGGTGACCAAGTGAGACTCTCTGTTCAAAAAAAAAAAAAAAAAAAATGGTGTCAATAGACTTGCATGACACAAGGTTACCAAATTCTTCCGTTTGTAAAAAAACACATCTTTCAAGCACAATAAAGGGAAATTCAATAAAATGAGATGTGCCTGTGTTTAGCTGCCATGTGCTAGGCCAGGTACTAAGACCCATGATGAGAAAAACAGATCGTCCCTGCTTTGTGCTCCTGAAATAGATGAATATTAAAGAAATAATTAGGAATAATTATATAGTCTTGTGTCCCAAAGATTTATACTGGAGCTGAAAAATTCCTCTCACCTAGCTGTCATACATCATCACAAAATGCATTCCCTCTTCTCTGTTTAGAGACCTTTAGATTCACAGATGCGGTTGGCTTGCCCTGCCAGCAGTAGCTAGTACAGTAATGTGCGGCACCGGTTTGCAGCCTGGGAGCAAGGGGCTGCAACACCACCCAGGTGTGAGTGAGCGCTCCATGATGTTCACATGACAAATTGCCTACTGCTGCATTTCTCAGAATGTGTCCGTCATTAAGTGATGCAGGACTGTGCAGAATCAGTCTGTGGTAAACACAATGGAAGGGAAAATACAAGAGCGCCGTGAGAGTCTAAGAAGGGGAGGCCCGGAATGCGCTGGGGAGGGCTGGGCAGCTGTGAAGCCTTCTTTGAGGTGGTGACCTTTAGGGTGAGTCTGATAACTACACTGGAGTTATTCAAGCAGAATGTTCCAGGCAGCGGGAAATCGCAGGAAGGGGCAGAAATGAGAAATGTTTGGCACTTGAGGAAATACCTGAAAGCCAATGGAGGCTGATGTGAAACACTAGCACTTGTACCCCTTCCCCTGCCAAAACCCCCCAACGCACTTCAGATAGCATCGTATAGATGACGTTCTCAGATATGCCTCTGACATTCTGGGAGGGGAATGGGCAGAGCCTGTCGCCAGAAAGTCTCCCAGCTATCTGGTCATGGACACATACAGAGTGGTGAGATTGCTTTGAAATATTTCTGTACCTTTTTAGCTAGTCCCTGATCAATCCAGAGTCCACCTCCCACAGGCACTGGGGGTTTCACTGTTACCTCCCTCCCTCCCAGTCCCCTTTTGCACCCCTCTGCCTTCCCCACAGGCTCTAGTGTCTGTCCAAATAGAGCCACTATGACATACACCTTTCTCTTGCTAGTTTCGGTGCCTCCCATGGCATAACTGGGATGTATTCTGTGGCCAGGTTCTTTCTTTATGATGTCTTCCTCACATACCCCTTCCTCAAAGAGGGTAAAGGAGAGAAAAGTAAATGGTTAAAGGTTTTTTTTTTTTTTTTTTTTTTGAGACAGAATCTTGCTCTGCAGCCCTGGGTAGAGTGTCATGGTGTCTTAGTTCACTGTGACCTCAAACTCTGGGGCTCAAGCAGTCCTCTTGTCTTAGCCTCCTGAGTAGTGGGACTATAGGCACCTGCCACCAATGGCTGGACAGCTCTTCTATTTTTAGTAGAGACAGGGTCTCACTCTTGCTTAGGCTGGTCTTGAACTCCTGAGCTCAAGCAATCTACCCACCTTGGCCTACCAGAGTGCTAGGATTACAGGACTGACTGAGCCACCACACCAGCCAGTTAAAAAGTTTTTGGAATAGGAATAATGAAAGGGAAAAGGGGAAAAAAAAGTTTTGTATTGCCATATAGAAACATTTGCACTAATAAAGATGTAGGGAGGGCATGAGAGACAGTATTTGAGCAACATTAACTCTTTGTTAGCTCTGCTAATGGAAAAGATAAACACTCAGGGAAAAGTTCCAAGTTTTTAATCACAAATAGTCAAATTTCTGTAAGCTCTGTGCTTTCTCTTTGAACCAATTCTTTAACTCCAAACTTCCTTGTGTTTGCTCTCTCAGTGAGGGGGGCGTGGACAATCCTGGAAGTGGTTCTGATCTTCTCTTACCCATCCCGTTACATCAACCACCAAGTCCTAACAAGGGCGCAACCTACATAGCCCGGTATCCTCTCCATGCCCTCCCATGCGAGGTGCCCTTACTTCCCATCTGGATTGCCCAAACAGCCCTCCCTGGGCTCGGGGCCTCCAGATTTGCTTACCTCCAGTCTGTTTTTCAAGTTGCAGCCAGAGTGATTTTTCTGAAATGCAAACCCGATCCAGTCACTCTCTTTTTAAATGGCTTCCCATGTCCCTCTGGATGAAATAAGAATAACTTAGTCTTTTAAAACCCTTAAAATCTGGCTGCTGTTAACTCTTTACTTTTATTTCTCCTTAGTTTCCTAGCCAAATTCTAAATTTCAACTCTACTGAATTTTCAGTTCCTTAAAAAAATCTAGGCACTTGTTTTTGTTTTCGCAGACTGTGCCAGCTCCTAGGAAGGCTCTCCTTCCCACCCCAGCCCACCCACTGCATTTCCTAACTCTCATCTCTCCCCTTTGGTCTAGCTCCATTTCCTCTGGGAAAGCCATCCTTGAGAACTTGGATTTTTAGTTCCCCCCAGGTGTGCTCTGGTTGCACCCCCGCTCCCCTGCCATGTCATAATGTCTATCATGCTGCCTTTACCTCCCCCCACAATAAATGAATTTTCTCTCTTTTTGAACAAGCAATACTCATTAAATATTGAATCAATACAGAAATGAATAACAAAGGAAGCAAACATCACCAATAATCTTAATTTCATGGCATTTATTTTGATCATTTCTGTGCACATTATATATGGGTACTGTGTATCTAGTTTTATAACTTTTCCAATTAAACAACTTATTCTAGACATCTTTATACATAGTATTCTTTTATTTCAATGTACAATGGATTATTTAGCTAATCCTTATGTTTAGCTTGTTTCCATTTTCACTTTATTTTAGATGTTATTGCAGTGAATATCCTTATCCATGTACCCTTTATACCTAACAAGTTATTTCTAAAGGATAAATTTAGAGAATTATCTATAAGATTGCTATCAAATTAGATCCCCTTCCATAAGACATTATGGCCTTTCCCCCAAACCTTGAAAATACTTGTTTTATAAATATTTTTTCTTTTGTTTTTCAAGCTGATCAGCAAAACAAAGATACAGTTTTTGATGATTTCCCCCTAGTGACTAGCGAAGTTTGGCACCTTTATGTTTACTGGGCATTAATTTTTTTCAAATCAACTTGATTTGCCCAATTTTTTATCCTCAGGCCCCCTGGAAGCAGTGCTCGAAATGAAGATTCTTGTGAAAGTGATTTATTGAGAGTGAGTGAAGGAAACAGAAGAGGGAAGAAGAAAAGTGGCACAGTTGTGATTTCAGGAAAAATCCACCCTCAGCTAAGCCCATGGGGTGCTCGGGAGCATGAATTGGAGCTAATCGGCAAGGTAAAGAAGCTGGATGAATTAATTGAGTGTCAGAAGAGAAATGGTCTCAAGCTTGCCTTTCTTTGCTGTCATGACACAAAAGTGAACCATTTCTATACCATCGTAAGTGATGAAAATGGATTCTATTTGACAATTGCCAAGTGTTTGGCACAAGGGTTAGATAAAGATGAAGTGCTGACACACAGTCCCAAACCTGAAGGCATTCAACAAAGCTAATGGCGTCTGTCTGGAGATCCAGCACTGGTGTTGTCCACTAGGGCTCCGTGAAACCTGGTCACTAGATTACAGCAGATTCTAGTGCAACCAAGCGGATGAGATGATGAAGATGTTTGTGAGTCAGCAGCTGAGACGTCAATTAAGACAGGCTAATCGTCTTACAAAAGATGCTTGACCGCATGTCACGCTGCTCAAACGGCACAAACTGGACTTGGAAATTCTATCGTCCACCATCTTCACCAGACCTTGCAGCAACTGACTCTCACGTCTTCCAGGCTTTGGTCCACTTCTTGCAAGGAAAAATATTCAATTCTCATCAAGCTGTGGAAAACGTCTTTCATGATTTCATCACCATTTGCTCTCCAGGCTTCTTTGCTGCTGGTATAAACAAGCTACCATTAAGATGGCAAAATTGATCTAACCCTTGTGAGAACAGCCCACATCACAAAGTCCCAAAGCTACAGATGCCAGGTGGGGGGGGGGGAGTGGAGAGAGGGGAACACTTACACACTATTACTGGGACTGCAAACTAATAGAGCCTTTTTAGAAATAAGTATGGGGAATCCTCAAAGAGCTAGAAGTAGACCTTCCATTTAATCCCACAATCCCATTACTGGGTACCCAGAAGAAAAAAAATCATTATACCATAAGGACATTGGCACTAGAATGTTCATCATAGCTCAATTTATAATTGACTCCAAGATGTGGAGTTAACCCAAGTGCCCATCAATTCATGAATGGATAATAAAAACTGTGGCATATGTATAATACAGAATACTATTCAGCTACAAAAAGATGTAGACTTTACATCTTTTATATTTACCCAGATGGAGCTGAAGCACATTCTTCTTAGTAAAGTATCACAAGAATAGAAAAGCAAGTATCTAATATATTCAATACTAACATGAAACCAATAGATAAACAACTACACCCTAATATGAGAGAAAAACAAAATAAAATTCAAGAGGGGGAGATGGAGGAGGAAGGAAAGGGGAGGAGGGAGGGCTATTGGTAAGCTCTCACCTAATGGGTGCAATGTAAGGGAATACCACATATCCCTGGGTGAAGGGCTCAACTACAACCTGAACTTTACCTAACTAATGCGAACAGTGTAACCTAATCATTTGTACCCTCATATTAATTTGAAATTAAAAAAAGATGGCAAAACTGTGTCCATAATTTAGGTGCACATTTTAATGTACTGCTTCTTGTTTGATATGTAATAAACTATCCTGGATCTGAAATTGGACATTCCATACTTAATAACCTAAAGGTTTTTATTGTTGTCACTTTTAAAATCAGGAGTGGATTTCAAATTGTATCAAATGTCCTTTTGGCATCCATTAAGAGGATTCTGATTCTTCTCTCTCCTTTTTTTTTTTTTTTGCAGTTTTTGGCTGGAGCTGGGTTTGAACCCACTACCTCTGACATATGGGGCCGGCGCCCTACTCCTTTGAGCCATAGGTGCCACCCCCTGATTCTTCTCTTTTAACCTATTAATATCATAGTATACACCAAATTAAAAAGAACTGAAATATCGGGATGGCACCTGTGGGTCAAAGGAGTAGGGCACTGGCCCCATATACCAGAGGTGGCGGGTTTAAACCTAGCCCCGGCCAAAAAAAAAAAGAAAAGAACTGAAATATCCTTTCACTGCTGGAATAAATCTCACCTGGACACAGTCTATTCCATTTTAGTGGTTTCCTTTTGCTATATTTTACTTATTCATAAGTGAGACTAGTATCGCTTTCTCTTTTTTTAAACATCCTCAGAACAGTGTTCTTTTTCCTGTTTAAAAAACTTCTTACTCAACTGTACCTCTTGCTCTACTCCACAGTGTTTTGGGGCCTTTCCATCAATATACCACAAGTGCAGATATTTGCCTCAGAAAAGGCTACTTCAACTTAACATGATGATCCTATTTAAAAAACATCATTTCCAAAGTTGTCTGAGTCCAACGCTTTGATATTTTTAATAAGGCTACTAGGAAGAGCAGTGCTAGGTTTGGAGGGGTTTCCAACTAAATAAATGGAAGGAATCCTGTTTCAAAGATCTCATAGAGGTGGAAAGCAGCAAAGAAGGAGGCCGCGTGTAATTTTATACACACATCCCTCTCCTTCACAAACTTTATACCAATTCCTTTTAGAAAGAATGCTGACTTGATGAATACGTGAAAGAGAAGCTTAACACGGGAACAGATTAACTAAAAGTCAACCCACAATAAAACTTGTAATAGTTCTCAAAATTACGTTTTGAGTGGTAAGATTAAAAAATAGTAAGCTGTGGATATCTAGTAAAAAAAAACGTGAGTTTTTAAATGAACAAGAAATGTTTTTAAAGAATCTCTTAAAATACTGAAACATCTTCAAGTATACCTGAGGTTGTTTTTTACTTACATGAAGGAGAAACAGTCTGTTTCTATCCTAACGTACATCTAAATTCATTACGCTGGTAGCCTTTTTTTTTTTAATGCTTCACTAGGTTTTGTTTGTTGTAATGACTTGAATATAAAACTGTTTTTATAGAGTATTGATTTCTATCTCCAAATGAAAACGGTAAATCATGCAAAAGTTTTATTTTCATTGTGGCTGACGAACTAGAAAAGGGAAGAAGGAAGTGCTGACAGAGACGGGGGCATTCCTTTCAGCCCTCACACTTGGCTTTCTTGCAGGCTGGAAAAGAATCATCATCCCCTTCTGACGGCCGAGGTTTCTTCACTGTAGAAATAATTCCAAAAGCAGTTTTTCTAGTTTCTGTGAAAGAAACAGGGAAACAATAAAGGCTGAAATTAAGACATAATTAAAAATAAGGTAGTTTAACAAGTAGCATCACATTATTTTGGTTTACAGCACCGGTAAGTAATAAACCGTAACGAACTGGGCGCTGGTTTCATTACATGTTATTATCTTGTTTCCCAACATACACATGTATCAGGAGTAACATCTAATTCATTCCTAAAGATTACCCAAGGGTAAAGCTGCAGGGCAGTGTTATCTCAAACGGTCTGTTCATGGCACCTTACGCACCAAATCACAGACATCAGTGTAGAGATGCTTTATGCACAGTAGAAACACAGATCAAGACAGCAAACACAACACTCAACTGTATAGCTCCCATGGTAGAGTGTGTGCTCATCTCATTTTACAGCACATATTCTACCTCCCTCAGGAGAGAGCAATTTACTTTTGAAGGATCGATTACACAGCATTGCCAACCCCCAACAATGGACTCGTTATGTAACAGGTGTCCAAAAAATACTTGCTGAATGAATAAAATCAAACTCATACATATATCGATGCCTTATATTACTAATGGTAACAAACAAAGAAAACTACGATGCTTAGACCATGTTAGCAGCAGAGGTCAACTTAAATTTAACTAGCTTCTGTTAAAAACCCAATAATAGGCCAGGCACTGCGTCATTTACATGGAGTATGAAGATGCCTAACAGACAGTAAGTACTTCTTCCTACAATTCATTCATGGGATAAGCACATGATGAGCCAATAGAACAGGAATGAAGGCACCCACAAGAATTAACCACTTGGATGAATCAATAAGGTATCAGAGAAAATTAACACTACTAGGAATAGGAAAAAAGGAGAAGAAAGTATTCTTTTACAAAGGCATGAAGAAAAAGCTAAGAGGAACCTAGGTGAGAATATTTAGGGTACACTATGGCTGGTGAAGGAGTATGAAAAAATTAGGAGGAAATAAGGCTGGAAGGACAGCTTATGAAAGACCACAGTGTCATAAACCAGATTCACTTTGTCCTTAGGAAACAGAGAGAGACTGTGACAAAGGAGCAAGATACTTATTAGCTACAAAGGCGGTTGAATCAAAAGAGTTTGATGAACAAAAATTTAGTTCAGGATTATTTCTTTATTTCAAGTAACAAAAGTAAAATCAACTCTAAAGTGTTGTTAAGCATTAACTTTCCATTTATAACAATTTATTTACCAAGCCTACCTAGTCTCTGCTAGTTATGTGAAAATACTTCAATTAATAAAATGGATAAAACAGCTTTCCAGGTCATTAAAATGACAACTTAATGAAAGAACCTCAAAACAGAAATTGTCAATAATTTCCATTTCACCAAATAAAAATGTCACATTTGTATCATGATGTTTCTGAGTAATAGTTTTAAATCAGTTGTATAAATAAAAATATAAAAATTGTGAGAACCAGAACTTTGTAACAAAACCAAAATGCATTAGTTTTTTTTTTTTTTTTTTTTGAGACCGAGCCTCAAGCTGTCTCCCTGGGTAGAGTGCCATGGCTTCACTGCTCACAGCAATCTCCAACTCCTGGGCTCAAGCGAGTCTCCTGCCTCAGCCTCCCAAGTAGCTGGGACCACAGGTGCCTGCCACAGCGCCTGGCTATTTTTTGGTTGCAGCTGTCATTGTTGTTTGGTGGGCCCAGACTGGATTCGAACCCGCCACCTTAGGTGTATGTGGCTGGTGCCTTAGCTGCTTGAGCCACAGGTGCCGAGCCAATGCATTAGTTTCAAAAGTATTTTAGTTCTATCTCAGATGTGCCTTATTTTTATTGCACTATTATTTACTCCTTAATCTAAAATAACAGATTATAAAAACTGGGGACATTCATCACTCTATTTAAAAGTAAATTTTAGCATCTTTTAAAAACAAATTCATTTTTTTGTGATAGCAAGAAGTTACATTTGTATAGGGCTTTAATTTATAAAATGTTTTCACATATACTATTTCCTTTAATCACCCTGCTAAGGGAAATCTAGCTCTAAAGGAATTATCTGCAAGTGAACTACTCTTTTGCTCATGAGGATTTAAGGCAGGTGTTCCTGGTGGGGTGTGGAGGCTTACACCTGTAATCCTAACTCTTTGGGATGGCGAAGTGAGAGAACTGCTTGAGCTCAGGAGTTTGAGACCAGCCTGAGCAAGAGTGAACCCCAACTCTATTAAAAATAGAAAAACTAGCTGGGCATTGTGACAGGCACCGGTAGTCCCAGCTACTTGGGAGGCTGAGGCAAGAGGATCCCTTGAGCCCAGGAGTTTAAGGTTGCTGTGAACTATGATGCCATGGTACTCTAGCTTGGGGCAACAGAGTGAGACTCTGTATCAATAAAAAAAGGCGGGTGTTCACAACAGGTCCATGCTGGTACAGTGGCTGATGGAAGATATAAGCCTTGTCAATCATAGACCAAAGACTTTTGACGTTGAACCTCTTTCCTCTATCATTTCCCCATAACCTCTTAAAGATTACAATTCACTGGTTTCTGGAACTTCACAGAATCTAGTCCTGATTCCCAGTGGCAAGCCTTCCAATGTTGACAGCCAGCTATAATGTGTCCTGAGTCTATAGTGTGCTAGGTAGATATGCCTGCACTGGCATCCACGACTTCTCTGATCTTGGTTAACAGATGGATTAAGCACCTATCAGACATCTTTTGCTAGTGCCAGTGTGCTTCCTGTCACTAAATATGGCACTCAGAATGACACGGATGACATGTGAGATTTCATCAATGACAGTATAATAAGGAGACTTCTGACACCCTTTGACTCAGACTCCTTTTTACTTTGAAGGTAACCTAAGCTGAATTAGCAAGCTTAGGAGCACATCACACTACTGTTTCACTCTGATGCCAATACCAACTAAAACCAGGGTAACTATAATTTATCATCTAGATTAGGATACTTTTCAGAAAACAGACAAGTGTTAATAATTTTACAGGAATAGCAGGTATAAATCAGGACTGTCCCAGGCACTTTAGGATGAATGGTAATGCCATCTAAAGTCCACAAGACTTGTTTTGGTTTAGTATCTATAAAAGCTTGACTTTATACATCATATGTTGAATAGTTTTTTGAAGTAAAATGCAGAACTTCATGCTAATATAGTGAATAGGTCTCTCAAGTGGAAATAAGGTCATTAAAATCCAGACACAACACATGAGCCTGCAGTAAGCTAACTGTGTGATAAGTAACAGGCTACATGTAGCAACTTATTCTGAAGTTGAAAATTCATCTGGATGATATCAACTGAACTGCTTCTTAACTACAATGAGTTCTAAAAATTACAAAGAGAAGACAAAATAGCAGATCAAAACTTTAAATTTTTTGTTTTAATAAAGCTTCATCTTCATTTTCCAAAGTTTTCAACAATTAGTTCTAAAAATTACAAAGAGAAGACAAAATAGCAGATCAAAACTTCAAATTTTTTGTTTTAATAAAGCTTCATCTTCATTTTCCAAAGTTTCAGCATACTTCAACTTTTATCATCTTATGAAATAAGAAATCAGTGGGTCCAGTAGTGGAAGTGAGGTAAAGAGGTACATATACAAAATAGAAGTAAAAAACGTACAGTCAGCACGTATGTGACCATGTAAAAAAATGGGAAAAAAAACACTCAGAGTTGCAATTAATGCAAAAGTTAGTCAAGTTTGGTTGGATTTTTAAAAAGCTGTTTTTGGACTGGGTCTAGAGCTCAGAGGTTCCTTTGACAAAATATCAACCTTGAAATACGCTGTTTGTGTTTTCCTGACAAACTAATTAACATATATTTGTAACATAATGGCTCTTTTTTTTTTTTTTTTTTTTTTGAGCCGGAGCCTCAAGCTATCCCCCTGGGTAGAGTGCCATGG